ATGTGCTGGGCTGCTCATCACAAAGTCAGCAGTTCGAACTGACTAGAGAAAGAAGACTTTTTACTCAAGTAAAGATTTATAGTCTTAGAAACCCAAAGGGGATTACCCTGTTTTACAGGTTGCTGTGAGTCAGAATTAACTCTATGGTAATGAAGGTTGTGAGAATAGTGTAGTGTGTTTTGAGTCTGTTTCCTTTGCAATATAAAAGTGATTAAACAAGATTAAATAGCTGCCATGACAGTGGAGATCTCCCAGAAATTAGGGAACAGGCTGGAGAGGCTAACAGAAAAGAGCAAACCTTCCTCTTAGTGCTAGTGCTCTGAATTTGAACTTCTAGCCTCCTAAACTGTGAAAAAATGTATTTGCTTGGTAAAGCCATCTGCTTGTGGCATTTTTCTGTTAGAGCGGCCAGCACTAGATAACTAAAACACATGACTTAGGGATACATAAACTCTCAAGGCAGCAATCTTTTTATTGTTGGTTATTATAGCTTCTATTACTTGTAGAAGTTGACCAACAGGGATCTGAGTTTAGGAAATTTTCATCATTTGGCTTTTATATATAGTAAATGCTAAGGCCAGTCCTTTGCCTGCAGGGCCTGTGTCTGAGAGAAGTGGATATGTGACATTACTTCAGGCAACCAGGTGGGAGGGAGGAATTGAGGCTCTCAATATTCTCTGTATAAGTTAATTCATGCTGTTGAATCTGATGGGCACCATATACTCCATTCTTCTTGAAGCACCAGAGGCTCTTTAGCAGTATTTCAGTCTCCCCCCCCCCCACCCCATTCCTTTTAAGTAGTAGAAAACCCTTTTAGATTGTGTATGTGTGTTCTATGTATCCTTTTTCAAAGCTAGTAAATTCTTTCAATTGGGTAACAAACGTCAGTTGTAAATTATTATAGTCTCATGTTTTCTTTCATTTTTTCAGGGGAGAACCAATTGGGGTGAGATTAGTGGCAAAACATCAAGCCTTTATGGGATGGGAAATGATCTGAAGAAACGTGTTATGCAGGGCTGGATTTATGTAGGTAGGTTAGAGGCATATATATTAATGAGACTTTGCCATGTAACTGTTGATGGGATGTAAAAGATGCATGGAAGGAATGGGTCATCTGCAAGTTCTGCAACAGTCAGTAGAAGTCAAATATTTAAATGAATGAATGGAGTTGCTGAATTGCAACTATTTTTTAAAAAATTTAAAACATTTTTTAATGTGGAAAAAATACTAGGAATCTAAATATAATTTAAATAACATGGGTAGGGTAAACTTTTTAAGTAGAAAACGGCTTGCTTCTCTGGTATTTTAAGGTAAATTTTGAAGGGCACTGCTATTTATAAAATGCAGAAGGACAGATAAAAACCTTATATAGCTCTGTCAGAAATTAACCAATCAAGAAAATCTTTTTAAAAAATCTTTAAATATATGCAATATATAAGAATAGGAATCAAATTGCCACTCTTTTCCTCTCTGTTACTTATTGCCCAGATTCCTTTTGATTTTACCCCTTCTCTTAGAAAATGCTGCTAAATGTGAAAATAGAAGGGAAGAGATCGAGTAAGAGTTAGCCTGCTCTATTTATCTTTTATTATATTTTTCCCCCATGTTTAAATGTCATTTACGGGTATGGGTAAGATTAATTGTTATAATACAAACCAATTTGAAAATTAGTTTTTAAATGTAAAATCCTATGGTAATATGCAGAACTGACTAAATCCAATTGCAGTTTTCATACCCATACCAATTGTCTTGTAATAATCGAGAATGCATCCTCTGTGCAAGTTAAAGCTATTTTGGAAATCACACTGGTATATCTAGTTGCTTTCCTGGGTGTATGTGGCTCGTTATTGATTGTACTTGATTTTGGAATTTTGTAAGAGTTAAGTAAGCCCTTTCAAACCCTTAGTTGTTATAAGTCTTAATGGAAGAGATAAATGAATGAGGAAGAGGTTTAGAATGTTAGAATGAGTAACAAACAGTAAGGGAAGTCAATTCTTCAAATAAAATTAACAGGTTCTTATATACAATGGGGTAGACAAAGCATTCAGAAGAGGAATGTCTTAAAAATTTTACCAAAGAAGATATTCACAAATAAAAGTAAATGTAATTAAGAGAAGACCTAGCTTGACTGTACAGCATATACATGGCTTTAAATATGACTACAATTATGTGAATTACTTTTTCTGAAGGGGGAGAAGCGACAAGCTATCTTGTAGTGTCTACTCCATTTTCTTCCACTTTTTAATTTTTTCCCCTATGTTTTCATGCTTTCTTTTTATTTCCTGTCGCCTCTTTTTCCTTTATCCTATTTTTCTCAAATTTAACTCTTCCTTTAGAATGACTATTTGAGACTCCTGCCCAGCATTCATAGAACTTGAGTGACTACTGGTCTTTCCTTAACTAGTAGGAAAACTCACCAACAAGTTTCTTTTACTTTAGAGATTTTTAATATAGGAAACTTTTAATATAGGAAATTATAAGGGTAAGAGAGCTCCACTAGAATGTAGGTTCCATTAAGATAGAGATTATTGTCCCTTTTGTTCATTTTTTTAAATATTTAGTGCCTAGAACAGTGCTTATATATGGAGGTGATTGATTAATAAACACTTGTAGAATAATGATTAAAGCATAACAGTTGAAAATTGTTAGCATCATTCACTTATAAAAATTATTTTAGCAAAGCTTTTTTTTTTAACTAGGTTTTAAAAATCATTTTATTGGGGCCTCATACAACTGTCACAATCCATACACACATCCATTGTGTCAAGCACATTTGTACACTTGTTGCCCTCATCATTCTTAAAACATTTGCTTTCTACTTGAGCCCTTGGTATCAGCTCATTTTTTCCCCTCACTTCCTGCCCCACCCCCAATGAACCTAGCAAAACATTCTTGATACTTCTTCCTAGATAAAGCAGCAGTGTTGGTAAAATGATTCTGAAGGGGAAAGAAGTTTTTAAAAATTCTTATTCGAGTCTTTCCATTCCTTGTTCTTCATAATATGAGAATTTCTACCACTGAGAATGACTGAAAGAGACTGAAAGTAGTATAAGTAATTCTAATTCTAAGGAGCAAAAGAAGTAAATGGAAGATACGGATTGGCAGGGAGACTAGGTGAAGGAAATTGCACGTTCAAAGGCCTAGAAAGAAGTAAGATGGTATTTCAACAAAATATTAAAGTAGTTAATTAGAGCGCCAAGGCTAGTGAATGCAGTGAGCTGATATAGTCAGTGGAGAAAGGTCACATTGATTACTTGGAACTGATATTAAGGGCTCAAGTAGAAAGCAAATGTTTTGAGAATGATGATGGCAACAAATGTACAAATGTGCTTGACACAATGTATGGATGTATGGATTGTAATAAGAATTGTATGAGCCCCCAAATCAGTCATTTTTTTTAAAGAAAAGCAATTGGTGTGCATCATGAGTCATGACTATACATTTATGTAAACTGCCTTTGACTAATAAACAAGGAGAATTAAAATTTTAAAAAAAATCCAAACTCAAATCCACTGCCATCAAGTCAATTCTAACCCATTGTTTTCCCTTGGAGCAGCTGGTGGGTTTGAACCAAAGACCAGTGCCTAACCCACAACACAACCAGTGTTCCTTCAGCCAGGGGTCCAACCCCCACTTAAGTTCTTGGCATCGATTGCTTTAATTATAAAACAAGGATTATGAATGACCTTGAAAGCAGAGGTCTAGACCAGATCATCCTATAGAGTCCTTTGCAATATACTATCCGTTTATCAAGTACAGCTAGTGTGAACAATGAGTACCGTGTTTTACTTTCTAATATTAATTCCTGTAGTTAGAGTGTTTTAAGAGGTCAAAAGTTTATGATGATATTAAATGTTTTAAAGCATACAATTAAAAGTTTAGTATTACATGAATTTAATGCTAGATTTCAAAATATACTTGCCCATTTTTATATGTGTTATGATTTAGGCATAGTTGTTACTGGTCTGTAATAGTACTTAACTTGGTAGAGAAAGTTCAGCTGGGGATACTTACTTTTATAAAAACATGAAACATACAACAAAAACCTGAAAAATGTAAAAATTTTTCCAAAGAAGATAATCTTTTACAAAACCACAGGAACAATAACCTTGATGTTGTCTACTTAGCATCACTAGAACTCATAATTCCTACCTTTTTTCTTTTGACTACTGGATAAACAATAAAACAAAAACCCAAACTCACTACCATTGGGTTGATTCTAACTCAGAGCCATCTAGACTTATGTGCATTTATACTCACACATGCTTTAATTTTGTTAAGAAGCGCTAATACCAGTGATTTTATATGGGTTTCTCACCCTATTTGTTTTTGTTGTTTTCCTTGGGTTGCTTTTTTGCCCTCCCTATTCCTTTTAATCCCTCTGGAAAGACGAAGGGGCAGCTGCTATGGCAAACCCTGCATTTTGGTTATTGAGTTACAGTCTCACAAGATATATAAAACTTAGGTAAACTCTGCAGAGTTGGTTGCTGTTCAAACCATAGGGTTACAATACTTTCTTTTCCTTCTTGTCTTCCAATAAAACCTAATTTTCCTGTGGCATTTTGTTTTCTAAATTATAACGCACAATATTGAAATGCTGCCATAAATATTTCCCTTTCTATCTAGTATGCATAATAGTTCATTTTGTGGCAGATATATGGGGGATGATTTGAGGTGCATAGAGGAAAAAATTGATTAATTGGATTAAAATGCAAATTTCCTTTATATATATCCACAAGAGAAAATGAACGATTTTTTTCTGTTAAATAGCTGACTTTTTGACTTGTTGATACCTTTTTTCTTTTCTTGATTTTGGGCCACTAGTGCCCCTTATTTCTTTCAGGGTTAGAACCAGTAAGTAGTATGTTTTTTGAAGGTGTTTCCATCATAATGGCCAGCTACAACTGGACTAATGCATTTCAACTAAGCTCTGAGAATTCCTGTAATCTGTGCCATCCTGTCTCATACTGTCCCATCTCATAGTTGTCCTCTCTCTGCAGTGCTCTATGCCCAGGTCTCTGTGGCTGGGCTGCTCCAGCCTGGCGGACAGCATGCCTTCGCTGCGATGCCTGTATAACCCAGGGACTGGCGCATTCACAGCTTTCCAGGTACTTTCTCTGTCTCTGTGGGTTATTTGCGGGCGTTAGTGTGTGTCTGATTCATTAGTGCGTCCCTCTACTTTCCCATGCTTTACGTATGCTCACTATTTCTTCTTCATGTTGCCTGTATTTCACATGATTCAGTACCCTTTTAATGACTGATTTTTAATGTAGATCCAGACAGATCCATTCTTAAGACATTGATATTATGATTGGTTTGCTAAAATTATTATAACATAACTTGAATGTTGGTTTTCAGATCTAACAGAAATATAATAGTAAAGTTTAAATTATTCTTAATATGTAATATTTGCTCTGGAGCTACATAAAACCATTCACTGCAATTCATGAATTACAACCAGTTACTTGAACATCTTATGTTTTTCTTATGATTATTAAAAAAATGAAATGCTGCTTTCCTCAGAATGTCTTGTTGTCACCATATCTTGTTTCGTAAGAGCTAGATTTTCATTTTTATCTTGGTTAATGGATCTCATTTCAAATTGGAAAGGCTTGAAACAGTCAGTTGGTCTGACATGGATCAACTGATTGTAGTTTCTGTCCACCTTTCTCATAAAACCATCATGCCAGTCCAGGATGTGAGAGCAACTCAAAGAAGAGGAATGGGAAAGTTGTAGAAGAAATTGTAAGAAAGCCTGGTGCCCAGTGCTTTTGGACTCCCATCTGTGGTGATACTCTTGGCTGAAGCATTTCCTGTCCACTTCAAGCATTTAAGATTTGTGGTTAGCATTTGAATGTATTACACATTTTTTTAAGCCTGTGTGTATTATCTTTTAGCTGGAAGAGTATCAAAGACAAGCGGAAAGCAATTGTTCAAATGCTTATGATTAGTTTTAGTTAATGAAGGGATGTTCAGTATTCCCTGGGTGTGCAAATAGTTAATTCTCTCAGTTGCCGCCTGAAAGGTTGGAGTTTCATGTCTATCTGTAGTTGCCTCAAGAAAGAGACCAGGCAATCTACTTCCAGAAAAAGCAACCATTGAAAGCCCAATGGAGTCAATTTCTATTCTGACACACATAAGGTTGCCGTAAGTCAGAATAAACTTGACAGCAACTTTAAATTTTTAAAAATAATTCCATATTCCTGAAATGTGCTAATAGTTGCCAGACTTCAGTGATACTTTTTAGTGAAGAGATTTATATTCGTCCTTTACAAATTTAATATTATGCTTCCTTTGCTTAAACTATGAGAAACAATGTAGTAAAGTTATTAAATACAGGGTTTACATGTTGAGCAAGCCATTTCACTTCTCTGATCCTCATTTTCCTTATCTATAGTTAAAGATTATAGTAAGGCCATGTAGTAAATTGCTAGTGCTTTTCACCATCATCATTAACATTATTGGGACTATTATTCATAGTAAATATTGATCTGTAGACTGATTATATCTTCAGAAAGGAAGTATCTTATAGCATATGCCATATTGGTGTAAGATTTTCGCTCCGGTTGTCAACTTGTGGCAGCCCCACAGCTGTCAGAGTAGAACTGTGCCTGTAATTGTTACATGGCTATGGCTGCTCAGAAGCAAGTCATCTGGCCTTTCTTCTCTGATGTCTCAAGGGCGGTTGGAACTGCCAACCTTCTGGTTTGTAGCTCTGCTTTATATTCAGGGATTCCTAAAGGAACTCATTGTCTATCCTAATTTTTTTTTAACCTTTTAGGGGCATGGACTCCTTGGAGGGTCTGAGAAGAACTGAATCTTAGAGTAATATACATATAAGCGAATTATTATTATTTATTAGTTATATATGATTATTATATACTGTATTGTAAAAGAGAGAGAGAGAATTGAATCATATAACCCCCCAAATATAATGCCCGGAAGTAGAAATTACTATGAAGGAAATGTGCTTTGAGGTTAGATAGGGCTACGTGCACTTGAATACAGGTTATTAGAACTACATTACAGAAAGCGAGGAGCAAGGGGAGAACTGTGAGAAAACTTAAAAGTTTAGTCCATGTCAAGAAGGATGGTAAAGTATTGGAAGGATTGTGGCCACTGGTTAACGGACTCAACTACTAACTGAAAGAAAGATGGGGCAGCCTGCTTCTGCAAAGACTTCATAACCTCTGAAGCCGTCTGGCGCGTTCTACTCTGTCCTGTGAGGACACTAGTAAGACCAACCCTGTGGCAGCCGGTTTGGATTGATGTGAGTACTCTGACAAAATTTGCATTTAGCTGCATTACTCTGGCTTTATAAAGGATGATTTTAGTTATTGAAGAGAGAGAGAATGGTAGTGGTTCTGAAATTTTAGGATTTCTGGATCTCTTTATAGTTATTGAAGAGAGAATGTAGTGGTTCTTAAATTTTAGGATTTCTGGATCTCTTTATAGTCTTAAAAAAATGTTGAGGGTACTTACCTGGCAGGGGAGATACCATGATCACGAAGGTGGTTTTCCCAGCACTAGGCTTATCCGTTGCACTCCGGATGTGCTTACCCCTGTGATTTCCCCAAATGTGGAAAATTTGACTGCATAATTTGTGGTAGTATGGGACTATGTTCCCTCTCTCCCCTGTAAGAAAAAAAGAAAAAGTTGAGGAATTCAAATGTTGGTTATATTTATATTGATATTTACTGTACTTGAAATTCAAACAGAAAATTTGAAACCTTAATTTATTTTGAAATAATTATATGCTCATTACATATTAATTCAAATGAAATTTTCATTATTTTTAAACATTAAAAATGATATTTTCTGAAATGAAAATTAATGAAGACTGACGTGAAAAAATACTTTTGCAAATCTTTTAAATTTCTAATTAAAAGCCAGCCAAATCTGGCCTGGTTCACATACATAGTTTGAAAAGGAAGAGATAGTTTAAAGTCTTTTCAGGTAATAGTTTTTCCAGGTTAGTTGTAGTATATAACCCAGAGTCATGACAAAGAGCTTTTTGTACTGTACTATAGTAAATTCCATTGGTTTCAATCATTTCAACAAATGGTACTGGAACAATGGGATATCCATCTGCAGAAAAATGACCGTGAATCAGAAAGAAAAAGAAGAAAAGACCAAGTAGAATGTCAGAGGAGACTCTGGAACTTGCTCCTGAATGTATAATAGCTAAAAATAATGATGTGCAAGAACTGAATGGAAGATTTCAATGGGCGGCCCAAGAGATAGTAAAATATTATTGTGAAATATGCAAAGACTTGGAGTTTGGAAACCCACAGGGGAGAATGTGCTTGACATTTCTTTAGGTGAAAGGACTGAACAACAAATTCAAGTTTTGAGTTTCAGTATTGAAGGATTCAAGTCTATGGGCAAAAATATTGAAGCAAGAAGTCAAAGCTGCTCTGCAGGTGTTGATAGAAAACAAAACCAAAAACCCAAACTTCCCACTATTGTTTTATAGGAGCAAACAGCTTTCTCCAGCAGAGGTTTGAACTTCTAGTCTTGCAGTTAGCAGTCCATTGCCAAACCCACGATACCATCAGGGCAACTGGAATTGACAAAATACTATTGGAAATGTTTCAACAAATAGATGCAATGCCAGAGGTACTCATTTGCCTATGCTAAGAAATTTAGAAGACAGCTGCCTGGCCATCTGACCGGAAGAGATCCATGTGTGTGCCCATTCTAAAGAAAAGTGATTCTGTGGAATATAGAAATTATTAAGCAATATCAGTAATATACCATGCAAGTAAAATTTTGCTAAAGATAAATACAAAATTGCTATTACAGTACCTTGACAAGAGAACTGCCAGAAATGTAAGCCAGATTTAGGAGAATCTGTAGAATGAGGGATATCATTGCTCATGTCAGCTAGATTTGGCTAAAAATAGAGAATACTAGAAAGTTATTTGCCTGTGTTTTATTGACCACGCAGATCCATTTGACTATGGATCATAACAAACCATTGACAAACAATCTTGGAGTATGTCTAGTTTGAGCACATTTTCATTATTTTAGTACTAGTAAGTGTATGGGTGATTAAGAGGATTTCTGTTGCTTAACAATGGATGTATTTTGTGGACTCATGTACTCATCTCCAACAAATAGTGATCTTATAATCTATAATACTAAATGAGAATGAGCTGTAGAGAGAAAGTACTTAAAAGTACCTGAGTAATTGAGATCTTTTATTTTCTTTAGACATTTAAAGAGAAGAGAAATAAAATAAGAGTAAGAATATAAGTAGAAATACATAACCGTAGAAAATATAAGTAGAATATAAGTAGAAATACATAACCTTAGAAAAAAAAATTTTATTAAATACTTTTATTGGGGGCTCTTACAGCTCTTATCACAATTCATACATATATCCATTGTGTCAAGCACATTTGTACATATGTTGC